CTGAGTAACGCCCTCCAGATCCCCTTATACTCTAACCTTTCCCGATTTCCTTCAGGCGGATGGGTCCCGGGTCCCGGGCGGGAGTTGGGACTGCGGCGTGACTTCGGCGTGACTTCGGCGTTCTGCCTGCGAAGGACGCTGGCCTTGGTACGCATGTTGTATTGTGACCTGGCCTGCTGTCGGTGGAGGACACTTGCAGTCTCCAAGCCTGACTCCTTCCTCTGACTGGAGCCTGTCTCCGCAAATGAGCTTCCCAGAGTGGGCAGGGAATTGAAACAAAAAAATCTATTTTATGTAAATGCCGTCCCTTTGCCTGTCTGTTCTCTGTCTCTTTGTCAGTCTGTGTCCTTGCCCTGAGATCAGCGTCAGCCTACTCAAGCTTAATTCAGTAGGTATGAATCTTCGTCAATTATTGAAAAACATTGTTACCCAATGAAAAAACACATAAAACGTGACGCCTACCCGAAGAACTCAGAGCAAAATCATATTGTGTGTGTACGGGTAGTATTATGTATGAGTATAATATGCTTGTTTTTGACAACACTCTAAGGCTGTAAATTATAGACCAGTTGTGGACTTGAGTGGGTAAGGTTTCCTTACCAGAGAGATTCCTACATTACCACTGGAATCACAGGTCCAGAGTCATATAAATGTGTTATCTACATGCCCATAGCCAATTTATATTTACACTTAGATTTACATGTATGAGTAAATATGTACCTATATAAATCCTCGTGCACATATATCTACGTATAGATACATGCATGGATAGTCTGTACATGTGTATTGTGCACATATAAATATCTGTGTATGATATCTGGACCTGTAATTTCGTCTGTGTAGGAATCTTTGCAATGGAATACTGTCTTTTACCAACTGGTTTGTAATTTATAGCCTTAGAGTGTTGCCAGAAAGAAGTATTTTGTTTTCCTCTAATGGACTTTTCCTCTTTCCTCTAATTATTTAATGACCTTAAATTTTATTCCGTTTATCCGCTTGGAGTTTATTGTAGTATATAGAATAAAATCTGGATCTAACCTAATTTTTTTACATAATGCTATCCAATTTTTCCGATAGTTTTTTGTTTAACAATCCTTTCGTTTCCCTGATATTTTGCAATGTTAGTTAAACTCAACGTTAATCTATTGTACATATTTGCTTTTCATTCCCACATCACCACCACCTTCTCCGAGTTCTACCACAGAGAGAGGAGCAAGTTATATGTGAAAGCGATTTGAAAAGAACATCTGGGTTCCAATCCCAGCTCTTCTCGTGTTGAGTTTTGTTACATCGAATCAAACGCCATCCTCTGAGTGTCTAAAAAGAAGACCTTGAACTAAATTTCTGAGAAGATTCCTAGATACTAACTTCTAGGATTCTAAGCAGAATGAAAGCGGTATGAAAATGTAAGACAATAATTTTCAGGGCTAGCTTTTATGGTCCGCAACGGGATTTGGTTGGTTGACTATTAAGTGAATCTTCAAGCCTCGGGAGGGATCTCTATAGATTTAGGCCATTATAAATTTCAGCCTTCCATGTCGAACCTCCTACCCTGAGACCATTTCTTGGACGCTTTGGATCGCAAATGTCCCAGAAAGTGGTCAAGGGCAGAGGCCAGAAAGCTATTTGCTTTTAGGTTGGAAGCGCCGCTAGCGCTGCTGGCAAAGTTTTGTGTCGGAGTGGGGGAGACAACTAGAGAGAGACAGAAAGAGACAGAGACACACAGAGAGAGAGACACAGAGACACAGAGACAGATAGAGACACAAAGACACACACACACAGAAACAGAGACAGAGAGACAGAGACAAACACATACACACATCGAAAGATGGAGAGAGAGGTAGAGATTAACAGAGACAGATGGACAGAGACTGAGAGACAGAGGCAGGCAGAGACTGAGAAACTGAAGCAGTCAGAGACTCACAGAGAGAACGAGAGACAGAGTTAGAGAAAGAGACACAGAAAGTAAAATATTTGGTGTAATCCCTGAGGGTTCCAGGAAGCGGACTGCCCACGGAGCCTAGACCGATCGGGTGTAAACCCGCACAGGCCAGCGGCCTTGTGGAAAGTACTTGTCACTTTTTCTCACTTGGGAGGAATGTCGTATTAGTTCCCCTCCTGACCTCCAGGCACTGTGGGCAGCGGCCTGGGGTTCAGTCAGATTCTGGCCAGAGATTGGCTTCTGACTCTCGGGAGCTGGGGACGCATTTTTTTTTTTTTCCAGCGTTTTCAAACCAGGAATTTGGAACCTCACTGGGAATTAGCCAATATTATTCCAGTGATAAGCGGTGCAGTGCACAGGCTCTCGCGTCCTTTCCTTGCCCACCTGCCTGGCCTAAGTTTAGGGAGTTGGCGGCTCTCTGGCCGTGTCCCAGGGCCCTAGCCGCCCAGTCTCCTCCTCTGTTTACTGATGGTCCAGATAGCTGAGGCAGAGGAGCGCGACCGCTTGCAGGCTAGTCCCTGGGATCCGCCTTATCGTCGGCGGAGGCCCCGGGAGGATGTTTTGACTGCCCTGAATTAAACTGTTTGTTGTTTCTCACCCCAGTAATTGACAGTTGATAGGGGTTTTTGAGGAGCCGAGAACTGCGGGTCTTCCGGAGCCGAGCTTTTCCTCTATTCTCCCTTACTCCATTCTCGTTCTCTTCCTTGGCCCAGCTCACACGAATTCCTCGAACCCTCTACCCTTCAGTGGATCGGCCCTGCCAGGGACTCGGCTCCTCCTCTAACGGCAGAATTTCTTAAAATCCACGCAGTACGTAAGATTCCAGCCTGAATATCACTTGCACTGCCAGTCTGCCTCCCGGCTTATCAAGAGATGGAGTAACCCCAAATCATCTCTTTAAAAAACAAAAACAAAACAATAACCCTTTCATCAAGCCCCTTCGGGGTACTAGTCCTTAATTGCAATCTGCATTTCTAGAGTCGCAGTTTCTCCAAGTGGAGGGGACTACAGGGCACGTGGTGTGGTAGAAAGAACACAGGCCTTATGGTTAGAAGAACTGAGTTCCACTCCCAATTTTTACTTGCTGGAAAGTTATGCGACCTGGGGCAAGTCACTAAATTGTCTCAGCCTTGCCTCTAAAGTGAAGGATAGAACGCTCTACAAACCTGAATGGGCTATGTAAATGTGAGCCATTATCGCACGGGAAGTCTCTGTTTCTCCTCCTTTAAAATGAGACCGTTGGACTAGAAGATCTCTTTCTCTAAGGACCCCTTTATCATGGAATTCAATGCCCCTGGTGCTTGGACATTGGCGAAACAACTCAGAGTTGGAGTCGCCAGAACTGGTCGCCAGGATTGGGGCGCGACTAGGATCTTGCACATAGGAAGCTGGACCTGGCGAGCTTCTGATCTCTGTACCTGGTCACTACACTGAGTTTTGAGGCTGATAGCCAAGTGTTTTGGGGCCAAACTGATTCATCTTTGGGTCAGTTCTAAAAACCTTTATTTACTCTGGGCTCAAGTTTTGTTTTAGAGGGCCGCAATTGTTTGCAGCCCAAGTACCTGTCATTTAGTCAGAGCCCTACAAATACTTATTCCTGATTGACAGATTCTAACCGACTCACAGGAAGATTAAGTTGGTCTATTCGCTGCAGCGAGGCAAACATATATGTATATATGCACGTGTGTAATACATATACACACATACACATACATACATATATACACTAATGGAGGGATGTGTGTGTGTGTGTGTGGAGTAACAGTTCTAGGACTTAGGGAAGTCCCGAAAGCTGAGGGGGAGAGGATGAGAAGAAAGGCGAGGTAGAGACAGCTTTGGTGATGGAAAGAGCCTTGAATTTGTTCAAAACAAAACAAAACAGATTCCAGTCAGTCTCTGCCTGTTTAGTTGCCTTTCTACAATTCCTGTGTAAAATGGCAATTTTTCCTTGTTTAGTCTTATAAATGGAACTGTCTTGGTAGAAGAATACCCGCCATTGGCGTCGGCCAGCCCGAGACCTCTTCCTCTTGGGCTCTTTAAAGACAAAGCTGCAGTAACACGACTGTACTCCCAAAGAGTTTTGGAGGTTCTACCTCTTGCATTTTGAGCCCAGGGTGACCACCCCTGGAAGAGTCGGGCCCAGGCACGACGTCAGAGAAAAGATGAAATAAGGCAATTCCCTCTTTGTCCCTTTGGAATTCTACTCAGGAACGGGAGTCTCTAGTTCTTTGTTACAAGGGATGGCTCGCTGGGTTGGAGGGAGAGAGGAGGATATATTCAAATAGGGAAAAAATGGTGTGAAACAAAAGATATCGATAAAAATAAGGGGTGAGGGAAAGCAAAGAGAAACTCCCCCTGAGATCACTCAGCGTTCGCGAGCCTAGACCAGAGCTGGGGAACCTGCAACCTCTAGGCCACATGTGGCCTTCTAGGCCTTTGAGTGTGGCCTTTCGACAGAGTCCAAGTTTTATAGAACAGATCCTTTTATTAAGGGGATTTGTTCTGTGAAGTTTGGATCCAGTCAAGGGGCCGTACTTGAAGACCTAGAGAGCCACTGTGGCCTCGACGCAGGTTCCCCACTCCTGGCCCTAGACTTAAAAGAGCGGGGGCCTCCAGGGAGGCCCAGAAGGGTAGGGAAGCAGAGCGGTGTCTGGAAGGTTAGCTGAGTAATCAATAGAAGCCGGCGAAGAAGTTACAAAATGTTGGAGTTGGGGTGGGGTGGAGAGTAGTATAGTAGAAATAACTCCAGGGATAGAGCCAGCAAACGCGTTGGAATCTCAGCTGACACTAGTCGTGTGACCTTGGGCCAGTTATCACTCCGCTCTGAGCTTCAGTCTTTCTCTTCTGTAAGATAATACTTGCACCACCTCCCTCATTGCGTTGTCATGACTCATACATTTACAATGAAAAATATGTGTTAAGAGTTTTATAAATTGGAATTATACCTTATTGTACTTGTTAGTGATCTAAGAGTTACTGTAGCTGCTTCAGATACCCGCAATTACTCATTTCTACTGAAGGAGGCCGTTGGGAGCTGAAAAAAGGAGATACTGCAGGGTTAGTTCACGCTCTTTAATGAAAGGCGGGGTGGTTCGGGTCTCCTTTCTTACAAACAATAAGGAAACACTTAAATAGGGCCAGCAGCGGAACCAGAGAGGGTGAGCTCGTATCTCGGGCAGTTCAGGCACCAAAAACCGAAGCAGCCGCTCTGGTTGGGGGAGGAGGATGAGGAGTGGAGGTGATGGTGAGCTAGCGAGGGCCGAATTTTTTTTTTTTGGGGGGGGGGACAGTTTCCGAATATTATGCCACCTGGTATCCCACAAGGTGATTCTGGGCTTAGAATGTTAATACCGCTCCCTCTCCTTCCCCCAGGAGCCTTACTTTCTAAGAACCCGCTGATTTTAGATGGGAGCTAGGAGGCAGGGGTTGAAGGGATTGCAGGGGCTGCAGGGGCTGTAACCGGGTTTCCGGGTAGGGGGTTGACGTGCCTCTCTCTGGTTCTTGGTTCTGGCGGCTGTGCGCTCCGCCGATAGGCAGAGGGTTTTTGTTTTTGTTTTTGTTTTTGTTTTTGTTTTTGTTTTTTTTTACTATCTATCCATCGCTGGGGCCCCAAGTAGGCACGGATAGAAATCCTTCCGTCCAGTACACGAACACCTTGTAACTTACTGGAAGGACTACCTCATTCACACAGCCACTAGCCTGGGGTTGACGCTTTGTCCAGAGAGTCCCAGGTTAACTATGTAACGGGGCAGTAGGATTCTCCTGAGGCCCCTTTCCTTTCCCTCCCCTCCTGGTCCTCTTTTCTCCAGCAGTCCAGGTTAGCTGTAGCTTCCGGGGTTAGACCAATAGACTTCCCATCCCGCTTTCTCCAGCAGCCCACAGCCTCCCTGCCTTTCCAGTCAGATGGGTAATGGGGGAGGGTGGGGAGCAGAGGGGCGTCGGGGGGGTGTCGCGGGAGCCTCGAAACCCGCACTAGGACCCCCTTCCCTCCCTTTCTCCGCTCCTGGAAAGCCAGAGACCGCTCTTCCTACCAGGCCCGGATCCCATGCAAAGTGGAGACCCCCGCGTTGCTCTGCGGAATGGGCGTCTGCACTGCATTCAAGTCCCCAACACTGAAGTTCACGAAGTTGTTGGCCGCCGGCGAGGGCTGCACGGCCTGCACTGAGGGATAACCGCAGTTGTAGTTAGGGTTGCACGCTGGGCTGCTGTAGTTGGCATAGGCTGGGTAGGCATTGTAGCTGTACGGGTTGATGCTGACGTTGTAGGGGGAGCTGTAGGGAGAAGAGTCCCCCAGGCAGGGCTTCCCGTCTCTCACTAGTACTGGCACGGCTATCCTCCTGGGCGGCGGGAGGCCCACCATCTCCAGAGTCTGGTCCTGTCTCTGTCTTTTACATTTGTATCTTCTGTTCTGGAACCAGATTTTGACCTGCGTGGAGGTGAGCTTCAGCACGCTGGCCAAGTGGTCTCTTTCCGGAGCCGACAGGTATTTCTGCTGTTTGAACCTTCTCTCCAGTTCATAGACCTGGGCCTGAGAGAACAGAACCCGGGGTTTCCGCCTCTTTCTCTGCCTTGGGCGATCGGGGTCTTCTAAGTCCTTTTTCTCCAACTCCAGGTTCTTCTGCAGGGAACAAAGATCTGCAAAGCACAAAGAGGGAAAGGCTCAGGCAGGAGTAGTGGAAAGGAGGGCTGGATGGTGCAAGTGGTGTCTGGGAAGGATGTTTAAAAATACTTTTTTTTTTTTGAATTGATTGATGGGGAGTGTTCTGATTAGTGGGAAACTTTCTTTCTTTTTTTTTTTTTCATTTATTTCGTTTTTAAATAGCTAACACTTTATAGGGGAAACCTTGCTTAGATCTGGGAGGAGAAGCCAGATTGGAAACTAACACAGTCCATGGACAACCATGGGCATTCCGATACAGAATGGTAAGGCTGCGGGTGGGTAGAGGAACTTAGAACCCAATACTTTAAGACTAGAAAAAAACCTTAGCGTCTTTTCAGAGCTGGGAAAGACCTCTTTAATTTTACTGTGAAGGAAACTGAGATCCTGAAATCGAAACTAGAAAGTGACTTGTGCAGGGGAAACTGATTAGTAAATGGGAGAGGAGAATCAGAACCTAGGTTTTTTGCCAAGTCTCGTGCACTTTCCACTAGACTCTACAGTCCGTTGGAGTACAAAAAGAATAAAAAAAAGAAGAAAGGACAGAAGAAAAAAGTGAAAGAAAAAAAGAAAGAAAAGGAGAGAAAAAGAAGGAAAAATTGTTCCACTGATGAACTTTCTCACCCCCCTCCTGCCGCTGAAGAGTCAGAGGATCAGGGTTTGAAACCGTGCTATCACTTACTATCTCTGATTTTGGCAAGAGACTCCCCCTTTCTAAGACTCTTGTTTTCTCAACCGTAAAAAAAGTAGGTTGGATGAGATGACTTCTAAGGTCTTTCCAGCTTTCTATCATTCCGTGAGTCTAAGAAAAAGTGGATTTTGAATGCCACTAGTTGAGAAAGTAACCTGTCTAAACACTTAATTAGTCTTTGGCAGAAACCAGGAGGCCTGAGACTTCATCCCTTTGGAAAGGAGATGTTGCTGACCACTTTCTTGCAGTTGGATGTGGTCTCAAATCTGCTCTTATTCAGACAGTCCTGCTGTCCTCTTTCTACCTTTCCAGCCTTGGGTGACCCTGCCTTGCTAGCTGGGAACAAAACTAGTAACTTCCATTTATATGAGACCCTATGATTGCAAACCAAAATCTTTGTCTAACAACTGCTATCTATCCTCGGGATGCCTTGTTTGCCCCTAGTCTAAGGGTCTGTGTGCCCTTATGCACCTCTTCTGTGAGGAAACCAAGGCTGGGGAATGGTTTTTGGAGCAAGCTCACATTTGCTCTGAAGTCTCCAGAGCACTTTCCTCAGAACAATGCTGTAATGATGGGTAATGCAAGTATTGTTACCCCCACTTTACGGACGAAAAAACTGAGTGTCATGGAGGGGACTCAAGTTGCTCACGATCTCACAGTAAATTGGTGGCAGAGCCTGCAGTGATTCGGTTCTAGATATACTGACTCCAAAATCAATTCGCTTTTCATTGCCCCACGCTGAGGATGCAAAGCCTTCGGCTTCAGTTTTGTGAACCCGCTCTTTACAAAGAAACTATAGATCTGCTCAGGGTGCTTTGAGTTCTTCAACCTCCGAGGCCAGAAGCCCTCGCCTGGCCTTGCTGACCCTCAGTGCTATATCTCTGGACCTGGGGGTTTGATTTGGCCTGGGATGAGAGGAGAATTATTACTTGGGCATCAGGAGGCACCAAGGACTGGATGGTGTGAGACAAACCCAACATGGGCCACATTGTGTACCCTGTGATAGCTGGGTCGGTCGCTTGGTTGGGTACGCCTCTTGGTACTTCGGACCAACCAAAAGTGGGGGGCAATGGTTTTTGCCTCTTTTTCTCAATCAGCACTTTAGGGAACGACAGGGCTGGACTTTTCAAAAACATGGCAATTTAAACCTTGCAGTACAACGGGGCTCCAGAGGTCACCCGGGGCCATCTACAAATGTATACTTTCCAAAAACATTTCTTAAACGATTTTCCTCTGCCCTCCCGCCCCCCCCCGCCCCCCCCTCCACCATTGCTAGGTTCCTTTTCCTCGGAGCCTCAATACTAGATCTCACATTTATATAGGCCTCATAGTTCACAGGACGCTTTACAAACTTCATCTAAAATCACTCCCATAACACAGCTCTGATGGAAACAATAATACAAGTAACATTATCCTCGTTTTACTGCTGATGAAACTGTGGCTCGCCCAAGGTCACATGACCTGTAGATAGCAGAACTGCGGCTGGAACCCAGGTCCTCTGACTTCGGTTCCAGCAACTTCCACGCTACAATCTAACTAAACCAAGTAGAGCTGACCTACTTAGGGAAGACGGTGCTTATGGAGAGAAGACCCCTTGGATAGTGTTTTGTCATATTCAGTATATAACATATGATCACAGAGCATCCACAAAACTGTGTACATTGTACAAAACGAGTTGAAAGGAAAAAGAGGGTGTCCTCTTGCGCTTTATTTCTTTCCCTATTTCATAGATTTTAAGATGTACAAAGGTATAAAAGATGGTAGGTGAGTAACATACACTATAAATGTATGACCAAGAATTGCCCTAGACTGGACCTGATTAAAATTTCCAGTTAGGTCCCCTCCCCCCCCCCCCCCCACCTCCGAGTTCCTCCACATCCCCTGAGTAAAACCCAGCGCCTCTCCCGGGTCAGAGTGAAATTTAGAGTCTTCCCCCTGGTCCCCAGTTTCCTTCTATCTTTTCTTGTTTCTGTTTGTCGCTCTCTTTGGTTTTCTCCAGGCCTGGTTTTGCAAACTTTGGGGTTTAGAATTAAAATGGACGCCAAGTAGCCAAAGTGTGAAGGGGATTCTCTTTCTCACCCCCTCGCCCCGCTACTTAGAAGACAATAGATCATCCCTCTCTCCTCTTCTTTCCCCTCCCCCACACTCTCCGCTTCCCTCCCCAATTCAACTACGGATGATTGTCCCAGGCGCTGGCTCCATAGTAGAAATACTCAGTGGCAGTGAAGCCCAGGCAGGTTCCAGTAGCCTCCAGCCTGACCCGGGGGCTGAGGCTATTTGTCCGCACATCCCACAGTGCGCTATTTACCTTTCTTGTCAGTTTTGGGCTCCTTGGCCGGCTCCATGTGCGCGTAGCTCTTCCCGTAGAAGGCAGCCGGGAAAGCCGGGCAATGCTTGGCCGGGCCCAGCCCGTCGGTCAGAGCCAGCTCCTGGAGGCCGGCCGTCTCCGGGCCGCCGTACGCCTCCTGCTTGAAGGCGGCCAGCATGCAGGACGCAGGGGGCAGGCTGGCCTCTAGGCGCGCGGGCAGCTCCATGGCCCCCAGGCTTCGGCGCCTCCGCTCCTCCTCTTCCTCCTGCTGCTGCTCCTGTCGCTGCTCCAACTCCAGGTTGAGGATGTCCTTGACGGAGAACGGGGTGCTGGTGCCCGCAGGGCTGGCGAACATGGTGGGCGGTGCCCCACGGGCTCAGAGGGCCGCGTGTCCGCAGCCCGCCCACAGGAGAGGCGCCCCTAGTCCTGCCCGGGGAGCCCACATCATTCCAGCCTTAGCCTTGACTTCAGATGGGCAGGGGGGAGCAGGTAGGACAGACCATAAGGAAAAAGAAGGAGGGACTAGACCACTTTTTGGGTGACTTTAGCTTTCCATTGGTCAATCAGCCAGTGATGACATGATAGATGAGGAGTTTCTTGTCACCTAATATAGTAATACGGCTCCAAAAACATCCCAACTTTTTTTAAAGGAGCCGCATCCTCTTTCTGCTCCCTCCCCCTGAAATGTAACCTAGAGCTTGATTCTTCAAAGTGAAAAAAAATCAAACTCAACAGAATTTGAATGCCCTGAACAAGCAACACAAGGGGTTGTTATATTTTAGAAACTATCAAAGCACCATTTGCTCTCAAAATAACGAAGCAGAATTGGGGTAGGGGAATGTAGCGTGTAGGTGTGGGGCTAGTTGATTTAAATGAACCCCTTGAATTTTCAGTAAAGAGAAGAGAGGGATATCATAGCCTTAACGAATATCAGAGCTTAGAAAACCATGTCATCCACCACAGTATCGCCTCCCACATTTTAAAGAAGAGAAATCAGAGGCCCAGAGTCACCCACAAAACAAGTAGGGGAGTCAGGACTGGAATCCAAGCCTTTTGACTTCCAACGAGTGTTCTTTCCACTACACCAGAGGGAACGTAGTTCCCTTTTATTCTTTCTCTTGGTCTTGTATTAAACAGGAATTGAGCCATCCTTCTTCGATCCTCCTGTCTCACTGCCCCTGGCATCCTGGAGTTGTGGAGTAGTGAGGCAAGAAACAAGGTACAGGGACAGTGAAATAGAAAGAGGAGGCAGCTCCAGAAGGTGCCTCTTGGATTGTAGTTGTCAGTGTTTGGGGTTGACCGTTGAGCACACTAGCCTTCCTATGATAGTGGCAGTTCAGTGACTTAGTGAACTTCGGCTAAGCTGTCCCTCCACACATTTACACTCTGCCTCCACTCAATTGTGGAATCTTTTCATCCTAAGGATGACCAAGGAACCTGGTCCAAGAAACCAAGCCTACCCTGATCTAGAAATGAACAAAGCAACTAATGTCGAAGAGGATGCAGGTGGATGAACAGAGAATAGGTCTTCCTTGAACTGGAGAAAGGAAGAGAGGAAGGGATAGACTCCCTATTGCCTGGCTCAATAGACTCCTGGTTTCTTTGTAAGCTGTTTGTAGCTTGGAGAAACGGGTTACTCAGCCTCAGAATCTATTGGGGGAAGGAGAAAATGTGAGCTCCTTCAAGTGGTTGTGTATAAGGTCTCTCGGCTGCACATCAGTTCAGATATACAACACTGAGTGTCAAATCCATGAGGAGGACTCTTTCCTGGGTGCAGGCTTTGGTACCTTTGCTCTAGGAGTTGGGTAGGACTCTCCAGGCAGCAGCACTGTTTCTCCCCTCATTCCCTCCTCCCCACCCCCCACCCCCCACACAGAGCCAGGGCAGGGGAAAAAAGGAGTCTGGGTGGCCCTGTTCTGTGGTATTCTACTGGCGGCTGGGGGAAAGAAGGGCGCCAGGAAGAGGGAAGCAGCAGGCAACTTGATCCTTCTGAGTGCCAGGCAAGTTTTCCTATTTCAGGTTAGGTCTTCAGCTTCACAGGACCATCTAATGGTCTATACATACATACATACTATATATATACATACATACATATATATATATATTTGCCCCAATGTTTTCATAAATGTGGGGTGGGGAGGATTTCTGGTGTGGAAACTTCCTCTATGGCAGTATCTTGAAGAGTTTTCTGGGGACAATAAGATGTTAAGTGACCTGCCCAAAGTCACACAAACAATATGTATCAGAAGCAGGACTTGGAACCAGGTCAGTTTTATTGACTGCACCAAGGCAGCCTTTCAATGCTAAATAATAGCAATGACATATTAGCTCACATTTCTAAAGGTTTTTTGAAGCCAAAATTTGCTCTGAACACTCAGGTAAAAGGATGTTTCCCTGCAAATAACTAGAAGCTTCAAAATACAAGTTTTTAAAAGGTGGAATATCTTGAAATTTAGCTCAATTGGCAATGTTGGTCCTAAAAGACCCAGGAAAAATCTATCAGCAGCTATAATCTTGTCTTAGTTGGCAAGTAAATGGAGATATCAGAGAACATGGAAGCATTGGATTTGGTGACCTGAAGTCTTGGCTCTGTGTGACCTTATGCAAGTCACTCCTCCTTTCTGAGTCTCAATTTCTCCATTTTAAGCATGAGAAAGCTGGACTAAATGATCTCTAAGAGACTTTCCTGTTCAGACAGTCTGTGTGACTCAATGATTGAAGGCTTCCTGTTTTCCGACCCTCAGATAAACTTGAGCTTGGGCAAAGAAAGTTCCTATCCTTTCCCTGCTATTGCTATTCCCTAACAAAAATGAAATCACTTTCAGGCCTAAGGACCCTTCTCCAAGGCCACTGACTATGTTAATGTTGGGCCAAGGTAACCTTTTTTCCAGTCCATTCTCCTGGTTTCTGAGTCACAAGTGGAAAACTAACTTGGGCCCAGTTTCTCTCCCAGAACTGTTTATGAAGTCCTTTCCCTAGAACATCCTAGGTTGAGAGGCAAGGGCAAATACTGCTCTGCCCATTTTACAGACTAGGCAATTTAGACTTAGAAAACATAAGTGATCTGCTCAGGGTAACCCCTTTTGGAAGAGTCCTTGTTGATAAAGTTGGACAGCCTGTGTAATGGACAGGAAGACTGGATTTGTAGGCAAAGAACTTGGGTGCGAATTTTGGCTTTTCTATTTACAAGATGTAAGACCTTGGTTAGGCAAGTAATTTTCTGGGCCTCAAAAACTAGGAGATTGTGTTGAATTGTCTGTAAGATCACTTCTAGCTCGAAATCCTATGAAACTGGGTCTCCTAACACCACTGCTTTTTTCAGCATCTTATGCTTTCTCTTCTACAACCAGTCTAGAGCTTTTCTGCTCATCTGTGACCAAGGGAGCTTTGTTCTTTTAGCTCTGCTTGCAACTTACAGACAGCCTAAGTCACAGGTCAGCTCCCCATTTACCCACATCAAGGACCCACTCTCACGTGGGCCAGATTGCCTGAGATGTGCATTTTTTAAAGGAAAAAAAGCAAAAAGCTTTCTCTGTCTCGTTCTGTTGATCATGGTTTGATTTTACCTTCATTTTTCTCTTGCCTTTCTAGTGTGGCCTAAATGCCCGTCCAACCCTAGTCTCCCCATAACTCACACCTATCTAAATTATCTACGTTTCTAAGGGATTGTTTTGGCTCTTTATTCCTCTTCCAACCCAGTGTGTGGAGAAACACGCGTTGTCCCTCGACTGCCTACAGTTGCTTTAACCCCTTAAGGCCTGCCTCAACCTGAACTTCCTGACCTTTGTGGAGAGTGTTTTGGGGGAGAGGGAGGAATGAAGCGTGTATGTCACCGAGGCGCTGATTTCTGGCAGAAGAGCAATATCCGATTCAATTAAAACCCTTGCGGAAAAAGGGCTGGGGAGCTGGGGTCCTGGGAGTTTTTTTGAAATGACTCGAACTCTTCGGCCTGCGTTGACAGTTTGAAAGATTAGCAGGCGCAGACGCCTGAAATATTACCATTTAATGGGGGACAGACAGCGTGGCAGCCAAAGCTTGCGCATCCGGGATCCAGTGTTTCTGAATGAACCTTCTCGGGAAAGGTTTTCCTTCCTCCGGAGCCAACTCACTCCACCGAGGTTTAAAGCCCTTTAAGCTAGGATGTCCTTAAAAAGAAAAAAGAAAGAAATAAGAAAAACAAAAAATTTTTCTCAATTTCTTTTTCAAGCCCCTTAAATAGGGAACTACTAGAGACCTCAGAAGAACCAATATTTCTTTAAACTTATCACAGCAGGTAGAGGACTAGGAGTTCTTTCTTCAGAGAGGAGGAAGGGATAGGCGTTACGAATCACGTGGACTCATCATCCAGTAGAATCATAAATTCGCTGCTCAGAAAATGTCATGAACAACTTGTATCTCTTCCTAGAAAGGGCAAGCACATCAGAAAAAAACTATCCAGAATTCTCTAATTTATTCCTACAGATTCATAGCACTCTAAAAGGTTTAGTGCTGGAAAGGGCCTTAGAACAGAGGCTGTTAAAGCCTAAAACATAGAATATTAGAGCTGAAAGGGTTCTTAGAGCATAGAATTTTTTTTTTTTAAATTAGAAACTAAAGTAACACAACACTGATACTACAGCACCGTAAAATGTAGAATCTTAAAACAGAACAAAGAATGTTAGGACTGAAAGGAACATAAGAACCTGGAACGTTAGAGCTGGAAGTGACTAAAATAGAATGTTCGAAGGGGCATTGTTTAACTCGGAAACTCATTGAGGAAACTGAGGCTGTGCAATGTCATTTGGAGGTTATTCAATTTCTCAACACGACAGATTTATTTAGTATCGTAACCACTAAATGCCAGTTTTTTTTTGTTTTTTGTTTTTTGTTGTTTTTTTTTTGCTGACTGTCCAGAGTAGGTCAGGCAAATGACCCGAACTTCGCTATGAACCACAGTAAGAACAATCCTATAAATAAATGTAACACCCCTCCTCCCCCTTTCCTCTGAGAAAGATAACTCAAATTAGATTTATCAGCACCACGCTGATAGAAGTTCCTGGTCGTCTTTTGAATTGTCCAGGCTCGAGCTAGATTCCAGAATGCCAAATTTAAGAAACGCTCGGACGTGTTTTTCTAAGAGAGCTTTGCACTTATAAAATATTATTAATTGAAGACCGGCAGAGATCCCGGCGGCTCTGGGCTCCTCCGCTCCTCCTTTCCCCGCAATCAATATGGCCCCAGTTTCTCAAGGTATATATGATTAATTGAAAGATAAGCAGGAACTATCATTTGGAATGTCATTAATGCTCTCGGGAGACATTCATTGGAGACAGACCACGTTATCCTCCGTTTTATCTTCAACAATGCATCACTTTCAGTACTGTATTTTAGAAACAAATGGGAGTTTTGTCTGCAGCGTTTGCTTGGTGTTTATATTTTTGGAAGAATCACAACTCG